TGGGGAGGGTCGCCCCCTAACTGCATGTTTATTTCAATCAGGTTGCTGCATGCAATAGACTTTTTCAATATCACGTCTATTCGATTCTGCCCATGTTTGCACAGCACACTACAGACCTACGTTTGACTCACACCAAACTGGACAGATACAGGGAAAAGCTGGTCAGAGGAACCAGAGGGTTCCTGCACAAACAGGCATCCAGATAATATGATAAAGACAAAACCTTAATAATCACAAATCCAAAAAAAAAATAAAAATGTAGGATTACCATTAAAACAAAAAAACTGTCTGATAGGTGAAGTACTTTTTCCCTTTTTTGCAGTGATTGTTGATAGAATTGTGCAATTTTTTATACAGTACGTAGTTAGGTCTGAGTATGCCTAGAACTGTGATTCGCTTTAACTGTCGTCAGTGTCCGACATAGAAGTCCTGTGAAATGTCATAACTAGTGTATGCACACGTATATATGTTCTCTTGTACACACACTTACTTGCACACACGTACACACACACACGTACTCTTGCACCAGTACACACAGAAGTCTCTCACATGTGTACTCGGACGGCTGTCGATCTTTTTTTTTTTTTTTAAATGCACATTAACTGGGTCCGAGGAGACGCAACCAATGTGAGCTTAGACTGAGAACTGAGTTGAAATTATCCTTTTATTTTTCCACCATTGAGAAAAAGCGCACGTTTACGTCCCAGAGTGCAACCAAAGAGCTCACGTGTTCGACTTTGTTTAACAGAGACCACCTGACACACGGGATGAGGAAACTGGACGGTACGTGGGCGCAGCAGATCGGATGAGGAAAAAAAAAAAAGAGAGAGGCGTTTAGGGGCGAGGAGTCAAACTTAACACTGAAGCTACTGGACACTTGAAAAACTGAGCCCTGCACATGCTCTCGCTAAATGGGAAGGGGTAGGGATGGGTGGGAAGGAGGAGCGTTGCCGGAACATGCAGATGTGCAAACTGGGATTACCACATTTATCCAGATTTTTATTTTCCTGCAAAGCTTGAAGTAATGGACCTGCTTAAAAAAAAAAGAAAAAAAAGGTGGACATATAGATATATATTTTTGTTTTTATCAAAAGGTTATGGTGCAGTTTAAACAGGAATGGGCGGGTAGGTGGATGCAATGCATAGAAACTTTAAGTATTGACTGCTGAAGACGGGGAGGGTATGCTTTTTTTTTTTTTTTTTTTTTTTTTTTTTTTTTTTTTTTTTTTTTTTGGGAGGCTGGGCCACATTACACTGGTTTTAGCAGTTTTGTGGACAATCTGAATGGGATCCTGCATCATTGCGAGTTATCGCGTGTTACCCCTTCCCCTTTTCCTTAAATCCGTGAGTTGTGATTGGCGCCCCTGCAGTCCCTCTCCTCTCTTTTCATTTTACTCAGTTAAACTGTGTGTTTGTTTGTTTTTTCACCAAGAAATCGAAACTAAGCAACAATACGTTTTTTCTTCTTAACTGAGGCTAACCATGAGTAATAATAAGCATCCCTATGAAAGTGAATTCTGGGTATTTTTTGTGACATTTCTTTCCCCTCCCAGAAAAAAAGGTTTTCTATGTTTGTTCCTTCTCTATAATAGCTATTTGTTATGCACTACTCTTTGTATCTGACCAGTTTTCAACAGTCAGCTGTTCTTTTTGTTAAAAGACAAAAAAAAAAAAAAGAGATAAAGTGTGCTTTCTGACTGACAAGATCTTTTGCAATACCTCAATTTTGAAATATATTAGGAGAGAAAAAGATATTTTCTAAGTAAGTTTATTCAGATGAGAAATATATATTAATTTAATTCTTCAAGAGAAATGATTTAACAGATGGTTGATTTTTCTTTTTTAAATCTTATCATGCTTTTTTTTTTAAAGTTTGCTTTTATTTTAAGAATTAATTATTTTATTTTTTTGGAAAAAGACAACAACTGAAGGAGCTAGAGCTTTATACTAATAATATGTAGTTAGTGAGAGTCTACTTTATTACAGTGGCAGCGAGGGTGAGCGCCCCACTGGTCGAATCAGTCGAAACATCGGAGGGAGGAGAGCTCTTTAAGGAAATCGAATATAAGGTGCTCAAAGAGGAAAACGACACATATTTCCCACCTTTTTGTATATTTATAATCAATCATTTACTATGCTGACCAGAGTTGTGAAAGAGATCTTCTGTTCGTTATTTTTTTAAGAGAAGTTTTTTATGTTTCCTAAACGTTTGTGCTCCCTTTTTTGTTTTTGTAAGAAAAAAAAAGAGCAACCCCGATTCGTTAGCCCGACGAGAAAGACTTGTGAGAGTCACGGCTGGAGGTAGAGTGAAAAGAATGTTATTTTTACCACAAAACAGACACAAGTGTTTTCACCTGTAACTTGATCTGAAGCCCCCAAGGTGCATCAATAGACTGGTGGCCTTCTATTCTAGCAAGACTTGAATTAGTCCCTTTTTTTTTAAAGGCTAACAACCTTGATTCTTTGTCGTAATGTGCAATACTGTTTGTACTGTTTGTAGAAAAGAAGAAAACAAGAAAAAAGAGGCATAAATCTTTACTGCAGAATTATTTTCATTGCAAGCATTGTGATTCACTAAAAATCATTTTCTACTGTGTATTTACCTACTCTACCTGCTAGTACCTTCCAGTAGTAATGTAGCCTTTGTACTGAGAAATTTTCATTATTTTTAGAAAGTTTTGCTAAAAAACAAAAGAAGAATTTAAACATATTTGCATATTTTCATTTTTATTTCATGTTTTTTCTTTACAGACTTATTTCTCAACCATTAGTAGTTATTTCTGGGGGAGACTTTCATATCTGGTCAATGTCATTAATATTATTTTGTATTTTTACTTGGAATAAATTAATTTTTATTATGCTAATTCTTTAAAAGTTTATTTTTTTTCCCATTTGTTCACTTTTTCATTTTTTTGGAAGCTATGAAAAAAACCCCTTTGTAATATTGTTACTAAAGTGTCTCGTTTCTTGAAATGCTAAGCTTTATGTGTTATAACTTGCTGATGTTGCTTACATTAGTGTGAAAATGATCTAAAGATGAAAAAAAAAACCTACTCACAAAGAAACAGATTGGTGGTTGGTGATGTTTAAGTGATTCGCAATGTAAACAGATGAATGGGCAATAAAATAAAAATGGCAGAATGGAGCATACATGTAGTATGTTGTGATGTAATTGTGGAAGATGGATGACACCACTGACCGTTTACTGCTGTTGCTACTCAGTGCTATGTTCCAGTAATTGCTACTCATTAGCTCACATACTTTATTGTACTCAGCAGATCCTTCTAAAAACACCAGTGACACATGCTGTACGTGGTTCAGTCCCCACAGAGCACACCGGTTTAAGTATGAATGTAAACGTAGCTGCACTGTATGATACATATAGAAATTGGAAGGAGCATGTGTGACCTGTACAATATTAATCATTTATAGCAGGCATGGGCCTAATGTGGCTGCTCTATATATATCTGTACTTTCACCCTTTTTCCTGCCTTCAAGGAAAGAACGGTTTGACGTTTGAATATTTTATTTGAGAAAAACTGACTTCTGTCTCTCCTGCTGTATTCATCAATAAACATGGAGGCTGTTAGCTGAACCAAGCATTGAACATAGCTGCAGAAATGAATTTGTAAAACTGCATCTCGTTCGATTTTGTTCTTTACAGATTTGTTAAGGAGATAGTATTGTAGCTTGGTGAGCTTTAGTGGTCTGAGGTGAGAGGTTTTTTTGGGGGCCAGTTTGCTTTAAGCTGTGGTCATTATGTAGGGCGAATCAAAAAGTTGCTTTTGGATTTTTTTCCCACAATACAAAGAGGAAAAAGTAAGAATTTTGAGATTAAAAAAAAAAA